TCAAGTAGTCGACCGTGGCGGCTACTGGACTGATTATTAATTTCCAATTTCTGAGATATGCCACTTAGCTCGTTTGCGTGGATACGCTTACAAAAGGACGCTGTTTATTTCTCTCACTTCCACTTTCCTCTTTTATCTCATCGTACTAAGTCCACAAGCCGGACACCATAAATGACGTTCAGTGTACATAGTGTTATGGGTCGGATAAACTCGATTTAAGTCACGCATTTCAAAAATTAAATGCAATTGGGTAGGTTAACTTTTAAAATCATTAAACGTACGCAACTAATTCATAATTAATTTCTGTTTTTCATTATTCGTAGAGTACAATGAGTCGAGACGTTTGCACCAAAATACCATTGAAAGGAATTGGTATTGAAGCAAAGGTAGCATGAGGTCCTAATATGGAACGATATGAACAATATGGCGCACACGTTGGATATCTCCTTACTTTATTTATTAATATTGAAAAAAGAGATCAAAAAACAGAAAAAATACATCTCAAAACGGGAAAGACTGGCAGAGTAACGCACATTTGAATATGGGACAATCAAGCTGTAGCCACTGTAACTTGGTCCGCCGGTAGTATCGACGTTTATAAGCTTGGCTTATAAGAAGGAGCCACTTGTGGCACTTACTACAAGAAAGATTTGCTTCTACTAGCATAACCATTATTAAAAATGTTAAAACTCTGATCAAAGCACAATTCTTTCTGATTTACCTTCGAACCTCAACTTGATACCTGCAAGTACAGATCCAGCCAATTTAATGCACGTTGAGGCCAATAGACATAGGGATTGGTCAGGTAAATTAAATTTAGCAATATTATAATACAAAAAATATATAAAATTAATAACATCCAGAATATTAATCATTTGAACTAAAATGAAAACAATAAATTCATTCTGCGTGATATGGAATAGATGGACAAACAGCCAAAGATGACATGGCAGAGGGTGAAGATATCAAAAAGGAGGGTCTGGACTATAAAAGAAAAATAGATAAATATAAGGACCAGGAGGAAGAAAGTGACAACAATCTGGAACAATTACGCTACTTAAGGATCAGGATAGCCGATCTCAAGGAAGCACTCATGTGTAGCATGTGCATGGCGTACCATAGGAACATTGCTTTCCTCTGTAGTTACAGCTTATGCGAACACTGTACCTCACTCTTGAAAAACTCACAAACTGTCGTGAGACTACAAGCAAAAGGATCAATCTGTATTTTACTATAATCTGGACAAGCTGATGTAGCGCTAATATCAACTGTCTACTTGTATACCAGGAATCCAACTGTCGAAACATATTTGTATTCTTGAACTTAGGAAACACCAACTCTTACTTGCTCCCCACGCAAAGGATTGTATATATTTACTAAAGCTAAAACAAAACACAATAGTATTTTGATTTAATGTAATACAACCCGCGGTTCTCTAGTGTAACCCGCAATGAATCTATTCTACTTGTAAATTTATGTACACATAGATGTTTCTGTGATATCAATCAAAGAGATGAAATTTACTCTGAAAACCCGCCACGTGAAGCATCTGCTTGCTACCACTTTGATATCCGTTACGAACTCTGACGCAAATTATGAATTATTGACGTATCTACTAGTACTGTGGTTTAACAAACTTTTAATAGAGTCATTTACACAAATCAAAGACAAAACGTTATTTTAGGGTACCTATATTGAATTAATTGTATGAAGAATATGTGGTGTTCGACATTAAAATTTGTCATTGATTTCTGTAACATGACTTTACAAATGTTGTTTATGCTTAAACTTTTAAGATTATGTTGCGTCTAGATATTTTTTTAAGGAAGATGAAAATATTGATGAAACTATTCTGGTGGAATGATAGACCTTATTTTTTGTATGGAGTTTTAGAAAATTGATAGAAATATGCATATTAAGTCATAGCATATGTTTGGTCTTAAAATAAAGATTTACATTTACATTTTTCATGTAAAGCCTTTTTGAGACCGATTCCAAAAAAATTTTGAAACATAACCTCTCACTTGTTTCAAAACACTGCCCCCACTCCTCCTTACAAACATTATTCGTAATTTACAAAACGACTATTCTTTTATAATTCCACTGAGGTATATTTCGTACTATGTATACATTCGTATATGAAACCACTTTTAGTTAAAAATTAATTTTTTTTTTCTTACTCTTTGAGGTAGACTCATTCACGTCTAATTGCGCCACAGCGATAATGAGATCGTAGAAAATTGCTGAAAATCTTTTTAAGTCAAAATCTTATCTACTTTCATTCAACTTTTTCTGAAATACTCATATGCATGTGTACATTGTGCCCAATGCTGATTGTGAGATCGTATCTACTTTGTAGTACGTCGTACTACAAAGAGTAGATCTCAAGAGAGCATCGTAGCAGAAGCTTTTAGCAAACTCAAACACCCTACCCTCTAGCTAGTAAGGCAAGTTTCAAGTATCATTCTTGGCACGTGAGAATATTTGAAACTTTTGGAAAGTTTGGGAAGAAACAAAGGATAGCAGTACGTTAGGAGTCCATTTGCTGAGCACTGAGACTTTCTTTACATACCTATATACAAGGAAGCACAATAAGGATGTACGGAGTTAGTAAAACATTTTCCAAGTTCAAAACTTTAGAAAATATTAATCCGTCTCAATTATCCGAAGAAAGTTGTCCGTGTTTCAATTATTCATTTGCGTATACTAAGACAACCTGTGCCTATAAATAATATTCTTTTTTTTTAAGTTTTATAAGTTATCTTCATAAAAATAATTTACGTATGAAGAATACTAAAGAAAAATGGCGGATATAACGTTCCACGTTTTATTCGAATTTCAAATTCTCATATTTTCCTCGGCAACCACAATATTACATGTGACGCACACGTCATTTACAATGTCACCCTCATTTATATAATTTCAGCTGGTAGATTGTCGTTACGTAAGTGAAGGTTACATTACAATTCACATGCGCGTGACGCACGAGTGACGTGTAGTATTATATTTCCTAGACCCTCTTTATGAAGTAGGAAATCCTTTTCACCAAAGGACTGAAGATTTTACCACGATGCGAGAAAACTGATTCTAATTTGACGAAAGGAACAAATAAAAATCAACTGCTGAAATTCCTATGTATAACAATGAAATATTTCACAGTTTAAAGAAGATTTTTATTTTCCACAAAAATTCGTAAAATCTACACGAGTACGAAAGAGCGTTAAAGAAAAGTCGTTTGATTTTTCTGAATTTTACATTCATTCTCACAATCGATTAGTAATGAGTTCGCGACGATATCAAATTTGAGATCCATGTATAAATAATTCTCCTGTGAGCAAATTTTCAAGCCCTGACAGACCTAAATGAAGTACACAGGCATTCTTAAATAAGAAATCAAAGATTTCTTTAAGTAACAAAATAAGCAAAGCTTCGTATAAAAATATAAATTACGTCAATTTTTCAAAATCAAAACGACACGTCACCGTGGATTTATGAACATTTAAGCCAGAAGTAATTAAACAAATTTTAAGTCACATCGTTCAAAGGGGTATTTAAGAAGGCTTATCCTCAAATCCATCCTTGTCCTACACGCACCTGGTAGAACGGGGACGTCACTTTAACCTCCAAAATATATCGACGCCCCCTCGGGCCCTTACCTCTTTCCGTAAAACGTCGCGACACCTATTCAAGTAAAGCCTGACTGACAGGCTCACCAATTACTCCAGTGGGACACTAATGAGGTATTCCATTTCTATTCCACGACGGCTTCAAGAGCGCCTCTTATCCGACGGTTTCCAACGTTAAGATACGTTCACACGACTTGGTTCAAGGCTTCGGATTACTAATTTTCGGTAGGGTCCTCAAAGTTTCATGCGAAATCAGCATTTCGTGCGCAGAGGTATCACAGAAACTATTTGTCTGAATGAATCTCAAACGCTGTCTACAAATTTCGACTGTATCTCTCTCTCTCAGTCGCACTCGTGCAGGAACGAGATTAAGGAGCATGCACACGTGGCAAATATGAAGGTACGTGCTCCCTTATCGTAAAAGTAAATTGCCTTGGCACTGTTGAAAATTTATGTGATACGCAGCCACCAGTCTTCGTTTTCTCCTTTTTGTTAACCTCAAAACCGTCTGTTTCTTAACCTTTTCCTCTCACGGAGCCACCATGCCAACATTCCACGTTGCTTTGTTAGCTCGTATCACAGTTATTTTCAAAGGAACGTATACCGGGTCTACCCACGAGGTTTCTGCGAATCGACTATAGAATGAATGCTTAGTTATTTCTTTTGTCGGATTTTAAAATTCTATTATATCATCTTGCGAATTTCTCTTAGGGTTTTCTCTCTCTTTTCTTCCGTCAACGTCTTACGTCATATTTCAAGCTTTTGTATGACGTCGTATTTTTCCCATGTCAGTTGCAAGACATAGGGTAGAATTGGAAAGAAAATACGAAAATTTTGATTTACTGGTATTACATGATTATGCCAATTCTGTAATCTTTATTATAACCACTACTCTTATTGTTATAGAAATTTTGATAATAAATATATTAAAGTTTTGATTAATAATTTGTTTGGTATATCCCCGTTCGATTAAACGTATCAAAATTTTGCGAAATTGCTTCTACTACGCCTGAAAACGTCTAACGCTCAGGACACCCCTTAGGCTTTATTCTTATGAATCGTAATGCCTACAGACATATTCCCGAGTCCTATTCCTACCCTTATGTAAATTTGCGCTGATTATTTATTTCGATCACGACTTATCCTGCGAAGCTAATTTAGGTTGAAAATTCCTACGTGATTATACTGTATATGTATACCGGCGGAAAAGTACGTCGTGCAAATATGAGTGAATCTTATTGACTTTGTTAATGCTTATTCGAGAACGTAGCTCCGAATTGTCGCAGGAATCATACGTAACTATATAAATAAAAATAAAAAATTGTTTTACATATTATTATATTTTTACATTAATTTTATAAAATTTATACATGCCTTCCTCGCCAATGTTCTCAGTACCATTTCCATTGCTGTCTCCTGGGTATTATCCTAAGGCAGGATTTCCAGTGAAAATATTATGTAGTTCTGCACTGGTCCATTGTCTTCTGTATTACTGATGTTTCTGCAATGGAAATCCGGTATCTCGGGATCCGTTAATTTCACTTTGTTGTATAGTGTATGGCCACGTGTATCCCCATGAGTGGTTAGGAATTCGACGTCCGCGTGGATTCCGCTGCGGAATGTTGGATGAACTGGAATGCAGTAACGAGGAACGATGAGAAATTATTGAAGAGAATAAATAAGGAGTATTATTTGCAGGTAAGAATGAGAAGTGACGTAATTTTCAATTTTCGATAATTTGTGTAATTTTCAGTGACGAATTTCAAACGAATAAGAACAAACTGCCGCGAGTACATAAAGAAGAGAGAGAAGGAGAAGTAATGGCGTACGATAAAGTAGGGCTGAAAGATTTTTGATGGCCGACAGAAAATTGAAAGTGAAATCTATAATAAATGTTTACCTTCCATTATTCTAGGGAAATTACATTGAGCGTACTATCAACATTGATAATCTAACGTCTAAAGTTTATTGTAACAATACTGTTTGCTCAACCGATACCAAACATGAGAATTATGTTAAGCGATTATGGCAGCACCCCTTTCATATCTATCAATAATACATAAGCATACGATAAATGCAGAAAAGTTAATTAATAAACTGATAAGACTGTCATCAATCGAACAGTCTAATACAAATCGATACAATATTTATTGGTAAATTAATTTAACCATTATCCAACTTAAACAAATACCCTATTAAGTATCTTTCTTGCAAAATTACGTAATTAAATTATATCGCCATATCGTTCACTTGTAAGCACATCTGCAGTATCGGTTTGGATAATACACTTTATTCAGGAGGTTAGGTTAGGTTATGTGATTACATGCACTAGAGCAGCAGTATGACATATAAAGAGCACTGAATTAATATATATAGAAAACTACAGGATCCATTGCAAGACCTACAATCGATCGTCTTTATTCGATATTACAATGGATCTCGGTTTAACTCTTGGGAAATCAAAATCCACCTACTTTTACCTTCTTCGGGAAAGTCGGCCGTGGATCACTTCGTTTAACATGCTAGCAATCTTCCTTCGAGAGAATGGACGCTGTTTCGTGATCGATAACCGGATATCGATTGTTGGTATCTTCTGCCATTTCACAAGGATTTTGAATAACAAATTTTTTTTTCGTATATTTCATCATTTTCGCTAAGTTTCAGCACGAATGAGGAATTTATTACTCTTCGTTCACTGTCCGATCTTCGCGATAATGCGAGCGTAACGTTCGATGTCAACCTAACGATTATTCATTATTCTGTATCTTTGTTTCTTGATAAGTGAAAGTTATGGAGCTGCTCTGTACGTCATTATCGATCAAAGAAAAATTATTGGCCCTTTCATTTTTATTCTTATCTTGGTCGATGCTCTCGTTTATGATTGTAATATTAGATCTGTCGAAAGGTTTGTCATTCGCCACCCTCGGAAGCGAACAGCTGTCACTGATGAATATCCACCCTTGACATAAAACGGCGTATGCCATTCGACGTGAAAAAGGATTTTATCGGCAATTTACATTCTTACCCAACGGGGCCTCAACGTCGTTTTCTTTTATACTGTCGCACGATCCACCTTTTCTTTTCACGATAACTGCAGGAAAATGGTGACCTGCTTCGCTTCTTTACTTCTGACAATTTACTTTTTACTCAACTAGAGGCGCTAGTGTAGCGCTAACGCTAGCTTTGGCGTGGGCGCTATTCTAGCGTTGGCTCTGATGCTGCCGCTGCTAGCTTGAAACAACTGTTAATCGCGCAATCCGGCCGAACCAATTAACTTTTGCCTTACACGACTGTATCTCCCACCCCGCAGGCATATATCTGGGGAAATCCTTTGTTATGATTGTTGCATTTAGGTGATAACTTAACACAGGTTATAAAATAATCATCAAATCAATCAGTCCGTCCTCGTACCAATCTACGTTGCTTATTTTACGTAATTTTAATGATTCATCGCAGCTATTGCTGTTTCGTTTTTTTTTTTTCAATGCAGTCACACAGTTTGTCACTGGATGGCGCCAGGGGCTAATGAACGTACCGTTGCGAATACTTTTTGAATAATCACTTTTATTTTTATTTTTTCTTTATTTTTTTTTCTTTACCTTAACGATATTAAATAACGTAGCTACATAGGGTATATATTTTACATGGAAAATTCTGTCCTCTTTCTTAACGATCCTTCGAAATCTCGACTGTTACGAAATAACATATATATCTGGCTGTCGACGACAAAATTTGCATCATCCTAGGATTCCTTCGACACGAGCATTAACGTGTGCAAAGTCGCGCTTATTGAAAGACAAAAAATCGTAAGCTAACGTAACTCGGGAGCGGCCATGTTTATCTTTACTTATCGTTTGCTTGTCCAGCCTTCATGTTTTTTTGCTACCTTTAATTTTACATACCACGAAAGCACGAGTGCGCGCGCAATGCTTTACGAAGAATGAATAACAAGAGTGAAAAATACAAGCATACCTTCACCGGATAAATCAATTACGCAATACCTTTTTTTTCTACTTCCAGCTGTACTATCACTCACGGCAGACGGAAAAAAACATCGTTATCATTTACCATCGTTATCCCTGCCCCACTTTCATCGTTTTTCATAAACCCTCGCGCGAAATAATAACGCGCGCGACGCCCCAGGCGAGACTTTTATGATTTTATAACCTCAAAAATGAAATTCTAACGATCACAATCTGCCGCCCACGCGCTATATCGGTATATGACGTACTTACATAGATATGCGTGTGATTATGCAGTTAGATATGTACGCCTTAGCAAGGAATCGTCATTTTCATAATAAAGTACACTTTTTTTTCGTGCATCATTTTTAAAATATGCAATATGCGACTTTTTTTCTATCGCATTCGCGGATCGTACTAGGAAAATTTATATATTACGAAAAAAATGTCTATTCGATTTTTCTCTTCTTTGACTACTACCTCTCTCTCTCTCTCTCTCTCTCTCTCTCTCGTACTCGTCATCTTTCTCGCAATACCTCTTAACCGGTATATACGGCGATACAATAAAATCGGTAAATAGGTACTTGGAGAAAGATTGATGCTAACCGTTTATACTTCTTTCTCGCTTTGTATGTCTTATAATTTGATCATTATCAGGATCCTTTATTAATTTTTTTTGGAAGATGTCGTCTGTGAATTAACGTCATCGCGAGCTAACTAATTACTCTTTACAAATGTATGGTACCGCGCGCTCCATAACGTGTTACAATGATTTCAAAATACAATTAGTATACAGGGCTCTTATTTTTTTTACTTTTTTTTGCTTCATTTCATTCGAAAATGCCGACGTCCACCGTCAATAACGGGAAAGATACTCCTTTCGTCACTGAGAGACAAGAAAACGAAAACGCGATTTAAATATTCACGATAATTCACACAAGCGCAACCGATCGATACCACGCAATCGTTTTCGTCGCTCTCACTATTTAGATATTTAATTACCATATTCAGTAATGAATCTCTCTCGCATCCCGCAACACCCTGTAGGTACATACATTATTATAATAGGCCATTTCCTCCTATCTAAGAATTTGAAATTCTAACTAAAAAGCAAAGATTTAAATTCCCGCCACTTCGAGGACAAATCCCTCGTCTGCGGGGACGTTTTTGCGCATGCGCCTGCGCGACTCGTGCGCACCGTATTAATTTTAACACGGAGTGTAACGAAACATCGGTATGGGAAGAAAAATAAAGAAAAATTGCATATACTATCGAGAAGACAAGATAAAATATATAGTTTTACACGTACAGGCGCAATTTATATTGGAGATTTTTTGTTTCTGCCCACCAGGTATATATTTGATACAGGTCGGACACCTCAGGATAGAATCCAGTAAAGGTTATATCTCAGCGAAATTCTTATGCTGCATTTACAGGGGTATCCTTGAATTTCATTTAACGATCAGAAACCCATATAACTCATCGTTGAAATGAAATTTTGTGAATGATTAATCTCCTGTAATGCCACTGCATCGAAAATACAATATTTCGTTATGCAGGTACACATCTTAACATATGTTCAATGGACGTCCAATTGGATTGTATTTTGCGATACATCGGCGTTTCAAGAGAATAAACATTCGGGGAGTTTCATTTCAGGTAGCGTGGTACATGGGTTTTTAACGATTAGATGAAATCACGGGTACCCATGATCACCGAGCTGAATTCAGAAACGGATCTAAGGATTTCATTGGGATCATATGTTATGGATCGATAGATTCATCGGTTCACCTCGATCCCCTTAAAAATACTCGCGAAACATGAACTGAAGCTACAGATTTTTTCTACGTACAGGAATCAATCTCGACTAGTGACTGAAGAGATACAGGCACTGTTCTTTCACATAATAATAATTCATCTCGCACATTGTCACTTCGATAGGATGTTCTTTTTTTACTTTTACTTTTTTAATTATTTTCCACAATTTTTCTTTTTTCTCTATCCTTGCTTTTGAGACGTCATTCCTTTCTTTAGGTACGATGGGGATGAATTTGGTCATGGAACAAGGGGGGAACTATAAATGCTCAAAGTATAGCCTTACTTTTATGTGTATGTATATATATATATATATATATATATGTAATATATTATGTAATGTATTTATATTATTTATACAGAAGTACAAGGTAAATATGTACTTCCTGATTGCAGTGTCTATGAAACTTTTACCAATGGATACGACAACCATTTGCTCTGGTATCCCATTTGCTGAGTAAATTTATTTACGAAAATTACGATGTAATATATTATGTAATGTATTTATAATGGGGATGAATTTGGTCATGGAACAAGGGGGGAACTATAAATGCTCAAAGTATAGCCTTACTTTTATGTGTATGTATATATATATATATATATATATATGTAATATATTATGTAATGTATTTATATTATTTATACAGAAGTACAAGGTAAATATGTACTTCCTGATTGCAGTGTCTATGAAACTTTTACCAATGGATACGACAACCATTTGCTCTGGTATCCCATTTGCTGAGTAAATTTATTTACGAAAATTACGAAATGACAGAAAAAATAAGAATCGTAGACCCGGCCAAATGGATATTCTCGAAATTAAAGGTAGATGTTTCGAAAGTGAGGTTAAATCAGATAAAGGGTTTTGAAGCTACCGACAGGCATTAATTAAGATTATAAGATATAATAAAAAAATAGGTTACTAGTAAAAATATCCTTAATAGGATGCCTATAAGTGCGTACGAGTCTATACATATTTTTATTAACTTTTTTCTTCCTCTTTCTCCCATTCTGTTTCTCTCTGTTTTGTTCCTCGTTTAGTTTTGTAAAGATGTGCATTCAAAATATTCAACAATATATCATTTCTAATATGCAATAAGTCAGGTAATATTAGGTTGGTGCGCATGCGCAAATACAAGCAGACGTTGATAATACGAAACGATTTTAACGCGCAAGACTCCGTTTTACGTGTAGATATTTCTACAATCGTCAGCGGCATGCGTACTGGACTTGATAAAATTGAAGAAAGAAAAAATAATAGCAAACAACGTCGGAGCACAAGCAAAATGGTGGATAGGGGTAATGGTAATAAGTATTTCTGCTAATTTGGTTGTTGATTTGACTTTCTGCGCGCATGCGCACTGCTTACGTTGGCTCTCTAACTTTCTACTACACAACCGTTTATAAATATAGAGTTAAAACTTTAATCGCGATAGAAAATGGCAATTTTCCTCTCCTCGTGTCTACGCCGGAACTTTACGTAGTACATTCGCGCTTATTAATAATCAATACGTCATTGACGTTTATCATAAATCGTATCACTATACATCGACGAATACGAACGACGGGATGGTATGACAGGAATTGAATGTAAAAGAAACAGAAGCTTGTTTCTCAAAGGATGCATCCTGGCGAGGCAGGTCGAGGACGAAAACGAAACGTTGATATTATGAATAATTCGTCGAATCTATTTATCGAGGATCGTTCTAGCGACAAAGAAAAATTAATTTTTTTGGAGTTTAATCACGATTGCCTTAAAAAGAGTATCTATGCACGACGATTTTTTTTCGCACGACGCACGAATGAGTACGCGAGGATAAACGACAGATAATTATAGTTAATAGATATATCGAAATATTATGAATTACGAATGAAAAGGAGTTTTCGAAAAACACCGAATATACAAATGAAATATTTTCTTTTCACTTTTTTTTTTGTCTTTTCTTTTTCGATTATTTTCTCATTTTCTCTCTCATCATTCCTCGATTCTTCTTCTGGACCATTTTTGTCTTTTGAGAGCACGACACACTTACTCTATGGAAACTTATACAATTTGTGTAAAGTACTTGATGTATCAGAGGTAAGATGACAGTAAGCCTAGCCATAGGGTTATATGTAATAATTATTAAATTAGGAGCAAGACTAGATTTAGGCAAGATTAACTCGTTAATGGCACCCACTCTTCGCAGTTTCAATTTTTCAAACTTTTACCATACCTCATTCTCCTTCTCTTTGTTTCTTTTTGCTCCCCTACTTTCTTTGCTCATTGTTAGACTTTTTTCCTATCATTTTCAATTCCTATTTCATTTTTTGTTACTTATACATGCAGAACCTCTTGATCACATGCTGTGATGAACTGACTAGGGATAGTATTAGACTAATATAAGAGTCGAAAGGCTGCTATTATTGGAAAACTAAAGTTCTTCTTATACTGCACTGTATAGTAAAAGTATAGTTTCATAGTAATGGTCGCTCCCTTTCTTTTAGCATTCCAAACCTAACCTCTTTCGAATATTTCATGAAAATCTCCCATACACTTTTTGTCCACTTAATCATTTGCGCACTTGTTTCGTACTTGTATTACACTCACATATACGTATAATTTTTTTCGTATTTTTCGCCTTAATCTTTTTTTTTCCTTCAGCATCCCCCTTCACCTCCGCAGCTTCATTAACAGTTGTATACAATTAGGATAATAATTAATATTGCCGCAATTATTTGCTACATTTGTCCCAAACAGTAGCCAACAAATTAGCTTTCGGAAAATTGCAGAGACTTAGCGTACGCATATATTACAAGATGTCTTAATACGATAAAATTGTCACGCTAAAAAAGGAAACTATTATACGCATTTCCCACTTTGTCTCTTGAGCATCACGAGTAATTTAGAATCGCGTAGCCAGCAACGAAGTGACCTTGATAACTGTTATCCCTCATAACATACATATATATACTTCTTTGAAATAACTTTTCTTAAGGAGAAAATACCTCTCAGAATTATCCGAGCGTTCTTTATCCTATTTTTCCTTAAAAGAGAGGTGGATCGTTTACTGTAAATTCTTATAATTATTATCGTTAAAGGTATCACTTCGAAGCTCGACATTCACCGACCTAAAGGTTTTACCTTGGACGTGTTCAGGACTCGTTCCTTATCGTTTCAACGTGGATAATCTCGATAACGCGAATTCATCCAGAAGTCCTTAGCGCCCTACCGGAAGTCTATAGAACATCAAATCAAATGTTCAGAGAAAACTTTTCGCGAATCTCTTTGTATTTGCTCCTTGCACGACGGTTCGCAATAATAACAACATAGCATTAACAACAGAGAGAGGATCACGTCCTCCACGCCGGCAATATCAAGATCGAATTCCGGTCGTCGTCCTTAATTGCATAATCGATAACAGATATAATTTCAGGTATTCTTATTTATTAAGAAAAAAAGCTCAAGCACCCGTTTGTATCCAATGATAACGCGCTCGGGATGTTTCGACGCACGAAACTCGTATCAATGATGGTTAAATGACGTTAAAGCGAATCAAAACGCGAGACTGACATTAATTAACATTTTTGTAATTTAATTAATTTTTAATAACTGTTTTCATTTTGTTTTCCCGTTCTGCGCGTCTCACGCCTTCAGAAGACACTCGGAGTACTAACGATCACTGAGCCACGTTCCATCCTCCTCGTACGACTTAATAGAAACTCACCGTAATTATAATAATTAATACTATACTAATCCACCGTGACTCTCGTCTCGTCACGTATTTTCTTGGTACATTGGTACAGCATTCTGCAATTTCCGAAAGGAATTATATCTAAGTGTCTTGCGCTGTTCTTGCGACTCTCTTCCTGCGCTCTTCTAACCTATTCAAGTCGAACTTTAATCGTCCCATGTAGGGAAATTATCTTGAGCCACGAAAAGCACCTTCTCCGTTGACTGACTCTGCTGACCTCCAACTTGACTGGACGATGGTGTCTTACTTTCGGCACTGCTTGGACGATGGTTGGGCGTCCCACCAAAATTCGTACTGCCGAAGACAGGCTGACCGAATGCGTCCAGCTGTTGACCTTCGTAGGTGCTATGCTCCTGGACGGGATACGAGACCTGACCTTTCGGGTGTTCGGTCACCGTCAATTCGATATTTCCAGCCACGTTTACGTTTCCGCATTCAACGTTGTCACTACTGCTTTTCTCCTCAAGACTACTGTGCTTTATGCCATAGTAGAAGTACATGATGAATCCTATATTTTATATAATTAAATAATTGTTATCATTCATATTGTAGAATTTCTTTCTCAAATTAAGGAATTTCTGGGTATCACTCACCAAGGGTCATCCAGACTGTAAATCTCACCAGGGTTAAGATATGCAACTTGAAGATAAGGTAGATGTTCACGGTTACGGCTATCGCTGGTACGAATGGAAGTCCTGGTGTCATGAACATCATGGTGTTCCTGAAACAGACATATATTATTTTCTAAAATTAAAGGATACTTTAGAGCTTTTTAATAATTCTTACCTGTTCTGTGGCTTTCTGCTTATAGCCAGTAAGACACCGATGATCGCGAAGAGGAACAAGAAAAGGAGTATCGTTGTGAAGGTTCCCATATTTCCTGGTCATTTTGAAAAGACAATTGTTAAAATTTTGTTAATAAATAAAATTTTAATAATTATCCTTAAATAATCCTTACCCATTCCACAGACGATGATCAGGTCAAAGATTAATATTAATAAGTATAATATGCCAACCATCTTCATGACGTATCGACCGGAAGCTTCGGTAGCTGGACCCCTATCGACCCAAGGAAAAATGGCAGGACACAAGTACTGCGCTGCCTAAAATAACAAATTTACGGATTCGTAAAAATCATAAAGGTCTCCTCACAAAGTGAATTCCGAAAGAAGAACAAAAAGTAGTCGATCGAAACCCACCTGCAGTCTTCTCTGCAAGTAATTCAAGGGAGGTCCAATAATTGGCGTATTGCCAGGATACTGATGAGTACTGCCGCAACTAGATGCGGCCGCCGCAGCGTGAACGCTTCCATAAAATTTATTTTCCGTCCTGTCGCTAACCAAGTACTGATCATCCTTGCCTAGACCAACGTCATCTTCCTCACCACCATAAGTATCATCCGAGTCTGGCGATGAACTGTTACATCTCCTGACGCGCCGTACCTACAATTCCAATAATCATTAATACCAATGAAAGCATACAATATTTTTCCAAGACAACAACCATGCTGACTTCAATAGTAAAAAATCCGAAAATCCTCGTGAGTCCTCACCATTATTCGCTGTCCATTGTTACTAGCAGTTAATTCAGATTGAGAAGTCTGAACGGTATTCAAAGCTGTAGTCAGCTGATCCGGTCTCAATTCCTTGCCATAGCTGACTTGTCCGTTACCCTGAGTCTCTTTGGTCGGTGAACGACAGGGCGTTCTTAGACTCTGTGGAAGCAATTCCACCAGGTTGGTCGAATGGGGTTGGTACCGCAGGATTAAGACACAAGTGGAGACCAGGGTATAGGCCAATAAGGTACCTGAATAAAAATATACCTTATAGTAAACAGGATAGTATGCATGGTGACTCAGAATTATTTTCATTTAATTTACCAATAGACATCATCTCCACGAGAACTTCCAGTTGAATAAGAAGCGCAGCGACGGCAGCACACATGCCGGAAGTGAACGTAGCTAATGCCGGAGTTCCGGTCGTTGGCCACACTTGACTCAGAGTCCTGAGACCAAGGATTGCATTTTAAACTTAAATAGAGAACGGAATGGAATTATTGGAAAATTTATTTATAATATCTTACCGGAATATCAGACCATCCTGGGCCATCGCATAGACTATCCTGGGCATTGGGAACATGCTGCCAAACATGGAGACTGTCAAACCAGCCAGTGCACCTACGGCCACGATGTACTTGCACTTGTAGGCTCCAACCTGACCAAACATTTTCACCAGTGCAGAGTCCTGATCGACTTCATCGTAAGGTACTGAATAGAAAACAGAAAATAAATTGTCACTCATAAATATTAGTTGAAAGGTCAGAGGATCGATTCCGATATTTTTTTTTTTCATTGACTGTACGCACTGATACCCTCAATATTAACTGTAAATCGGCAAATATTATATAAATACTACAATGTGTATAACACAACCGTATATAGCCAATAGCACACGTATATATACATATGTGGCAAGTGAAATATAGTTTGATCAATACTAGAATCAAACGTACGCTGATTCGTTAAAGCGATTTGACATACAGTTACCAAATGTAAAAAAATTCTTTAAAATCAATTTGAATGAATACAAAAAACAATTCAGAAACATTCTCTTTTCTCAGTCGGTAACAAATTAAAATCAAACCTAACAAATTCTCTTACGAGGTTCCTCCAATAAGCACCAAGAAAAAGTGAAGAAAGAAAAGGGAGCAGAAAACAAAAATCATGAATTTTGAGACAAAAAATCTTTTTAAACCGACGCGATTTTTAGCTTTACTTTTTTTACTATATAATTAGATTCGATCCCGTTACTATACGAAGAACTACGGCAGTGGCTTATGACAAAGATTAATATACCGATTAACGTCAGCATCATGCTGCTCGTGACGTAAGCCACCAGGATGATGATCAACGAGGACACTATAGCTAACGGAATGCTCCTCTTTGGATTAGTCGCCTCTTCTCCAGTCGTGGCGATAATATCAAAACCAATAAAGGCGTAGAAACACGTCGCAGCGCCGGTGAAGACCTGAAATTTCAAAAGAGCCAAATAAGACAAGTGACGCAAACAAGTTAAATGGGAAGTGGTAATAGCATTCGGAAGACAAAGACAAAAAAAATATAATGAAAAAAATCCGTCAGACATATGTTCAGTACACTAATTACTTGCTGGACGAATTAACGGCGTCCTACTAAAGGCAGAATAATGTCTGTCTGCAATTTGTTCATCCTTTCTGCAAAAGGGTTCCTGTTCCACGACTGCTCGAGGGCTAAAATTGTACCGAGAGTACTCGGGAAGAGAAAATTGTCGAAGTTTGTTAAAACGTACCTACTGCTGTGTACTTATATGAATACACGTAAGAGGATGGAAATATCTTCATAGAGTCAAACATGGCGGCCCTAAAACTAGTATTGTGGCATTCTTGGGAATTTCACACGGGTGTTATGTTTGACATAATGTTGACATAATGCGTGACATTCGTAGGGCTGAAATATCAGCTTTTTTTCGTATTGAGTCAGAATATAAGTACTGAAATTCTGAGCTTATTTGGACGTGACGATTAATCATTCCTCAGTGAAGGATGGCCATGAAATTTATATATGTATAGTTCGAATGTGACAGGAGACTCTGAAATTCTTTTAAAATTCCAGGATAATTGAGCTGCGAAAAATACCATTGGATTTACTAAAATTTTTACTGTTTTTCAAAATTCAAGTCCAAACATGATTATTGGCAATGATTGATTTTGATTAAATAAAATGTATATTTTTTAATTTACAGCTATTTTTTTTAAACGTCTACGATCGTAGACGCCAAATGCCTTTTGCCTTTTGCTTGTCGCATTGCTTTTGCAGATTGTCGATATATAACAGGTGGCTATCTCGAAAAGGGTTTTCCACAATCGAGCCGTTTAGTATAGTGGAATGGCCTCGATGGATGTTAAAGTGAAGAGCGAAAATTGAGGTGGAAGCATCTATCCAAATTGGGAAAACTACCCTCGACGAGAACGAGCTCGACGATGGAAACTGAAAATTAAATATTCGTTGGGCGTAGAAAGGTTGCGTGGGTTTCGCCAGAAGGAGGGGAAAGAGAGAGAGAGAGAGAGACCGAGAGAGAGAGAGAGAGAGAGAGAGAGAGAGAGAGAGAGAGAGAGAGAGAGAGATATGGAGGAGTAGGGGCAAGAAAGCTATCGCGCTGTGAATTTTAACGAGAATGACGGCACCCACTTTCTCCACTCTCTTGTATTTTCTCTCTCTCGTCGAGCAGCCAGTTGCCATACTGCGGAATCGACGTCTATTTATAATTTGTAATACATTTTTCGAAATCCATAAAAAATTTTAATACAAAAAATCGATTGCGTAAAGTTCGGTAGAAAATGTATATATAATTTATTTTAAATCCACAAATAAATTCAAAAATAAAGCAATTCATAATGACGTTTGTCTGGTACTAATTGTATAATAAGTATTGTAGTACCATCTGCAAATGCGTTTGCACGGTTGGTGGTTGAACCTAACCTTCTGACAGCACGTGGTCACTAGCAGTTAGTAGAATCGAGTGTACAATCTTGCTAAATAGAAATTCAGGCATTGCCAATGCCACAATTTTGTTACTTTTATTAATAAATATCTCATAAATTAGACGGCAGAACATATTTAAATTTAACACAACGATGCGGACCCTTGAACTCTTTCGATTAAATCCACCATAATTAGGAATCAAGCCTATGAGATTTTTCTTCCGAGCTACCTTAAATAGCGTGACTGAATTATTTATAAATTACCCCTTCGACATTCCGATCGATCACAGTAAGTCTTAATCAAGTGAAACATCTAAATTCCTTCATGTATACCATGTATATGAAAACAGTTCAGTGAGCAGATGGCGCCACTAGCGCTATGGCTAAACAAACGACAAAACGGTAAAATTCTCCATATAAAAACTTCTTAAAGAAATTCTTTCGATCACTGATCTTTCTTTCGCATAGATCCTCCTGTTTTTACCACGTTGGCCAACGTGGATTTATTTCCAACCTTTTCTCCTTAATTCCTGGTATCGATCGTCAGACACAGTCCGCGCCCCCCAACAGCCGCGTTCATACCGTGCTCGCTTCTGGAACGAACCCTTTTTTTCCTTCTTCATCTCGTTCCACCCCGCAACCCTATTCCTTTGTTTTTTTATTAAACCACCCAACTACTTTTTTCCTTTTTAATACCCCGTCCATTTTTGAACATACCCAAAGTCGCGCAACAAGTTTGCCGTTGTCTCAGAAGCCAGAAAATATTTCGACCGTTCCCGCCCACTTTCAGCTGACATACATATTCCAGCTGAAAGTCCCAACTAGCAATGGCGTCCAAGACTGAGAATCTATTGTCCCAAGGGATTTTTATAAAAGCAGCTGTAAAAAGGAACGCCAGTGTCTACCCCAACAACGCTCAGCGTTTCTGTAATCTTTTACTTCTTGCTCCCAACATCCCAGTCGTCCAATTTACTGTATCTAGCCTTATCTACTTTCAACTATTTTCCCCAATTTCATCTGTTTCTTTACGTTCTCCAAATAACACCGTCTTCTCAGTCTCTTTACCGACCATTATCAATTCCCAGATATACCCTTCAATTCAGGTATGCGTTATCCAATATGCCTAACCTCCACCGTTGCCAAGGGTAACGACCTAACGTAGTTATCAAAATTGTAGATAATTGGAAGAAAAGTCTTTGGTACACCTGGAGCACTCCCAACGATGTCTGTAGAATACGTAACGGATATTCATTCCCTCAGGATTGTTAACTCACGCTGAAGAGAGGTTATGGATTCCTACTATCTCCTGCCTTCAGGTACTTAGTGTCTGCAGTAAATATACATATATATACATACATCGTACGCCGTGACCATAAGTAAAGTAGACTATCAGATGAACTTACTCCACTCCATCCAAAAGGTAGGAAACCCTTGTGCTCGGACCAATTGGCTGTGTCGACGTAGAACATACCGGCGGCCATCACGAAGACCCACACCGCCAGGTTAACTGCGTTGAGCACGTTGTTAAAGACCAACGACTTCTTCACGCCGGCAGCCATCAGGAGCATCATTAGCAACGTGATAACAAACGCTAGGAAGTCTGGTGGTCGACCTGAAACAATAGGACGCCATCCACACGGGTCTTCTGGTTAGGTTGGATACTACTTTAGCAATTTAAACAAATGTATGGTATAATCCTTATACACATATTTTACCGATGTTGAAGGTTCACGTAATCCTACGTGTCTACAGTTACGGTGCTCCGAATTGAATGCGGAAAAGATAACATTTTGGGAAGAGATTCTGGATAAGCTACTACTTCCGTTTCCGGGTTGTCGTAGAATAATACTTGTACCCGTGTCGCAGGTTGTGGATCCTTGCGATAATCACGTGGTCCCAAGTGTTGGTCTGTGTGAATAAAGCTTTACGATGATGACGGTGTGCATTCTCTCAAATAAATTTTTAATATATTTTCTTATTCCTATCAAACTGCCAAAGGTATTATTTTATTGAAGCTGACGAGGGACCCGGTGGATCGGACAGGATGAATGTGTATCCTGGTGTTATCATCAGGACGAGACCTTGAACGATTCTGTACCTTATAATGGTATCTGAGAAAATTTAAACGTTGTTCCTTTTTCAGTAATATAGAAAAAACTTGGTGATTGTTTGATAAATTATGGATCTTCTTCGATGAGGATGAGTTGAAAGATTTTTTTTATTTTGACTTAAGTAAGCTTGTTACTGGCAACTATTATTTACAGGAATGAAATTCTGCTTCTTTGCCAGGACATTCAAGTACCTTAACAGTATTTATTGACTCGTCCTGCGGGTCTTTTGTGATTCTTTCGGTAGAGCCTCGTAATTTGTATCAACATTTTTGACGATAAGCACGATAGTCTCTGTCTGACATTCTTGAAATGTATAGATATGAAGCGAAAGGGAAGAAAGAAATCATTCTTTTTTTTTTTGTGGTAAGAGGAAAAATAACAAGGGAGGGGGGGAAATAAGTTTAATGTCAGAGCCTATATGTATTTGAGAAAAAAGAAGAGAGAGGGGAGAGAGAGAGAGAGAGAGAGAGAGAGAATAAAAGGAGAAGCGAAGAGAAATCTCGTTGAACACACTCAAGCATTGACTAATCAAAGAAAATGAAACCGAGCGTATTTGGGAAGCTGTACGTGTCAGCAGTGAGGCAAAGAACGAATAAAAGGAGAAGCGAAGAGAAA